AAGATTCCTTCTTTTCCTTCCACACAAGATCCTGTTCAAAAATTTCCTCCACTGCAAACACGCTCATGTAACCCTCCCCCTCACATGCTCACTAAAAATGTCATGTGACCTTGTAACAACTTCAGAAGTTCAGATTTATCAGGCCCAAAAACAGGAGGCCAAAAATAGTTGCACCCGGCCCAACCTTGCTACCCAGAACAAGAACTCTGGTATCAAAGCTACCGGGTCAGTACCAGCTGGCCTAGTGGCTCTCGTTCAAATTGAATCTTCCCTTATCGGTTCAACAGACCCTGGCACAAAAATGTTAGACAGGCTTGGTTCCATTTCCAACCTAGAATTTAAAAACTTCTCCCCATCAGCCCTTTGATCCTTTGAGCTAAACTTTTAACCTTCTTTGTAGCTGACACTCTGCAAAAGACAACTACTACAAACTACCTTGTAATTATTTTCATCTCCTTTTCAGCTGTCTCATTTTACTGTGCATTGTATAAAAAGGATGGCATTTTAAGGTAGGAAAAAAAACAGCTCAACAAGGGATTTTAAGAGTATGCATTAGATAATGTTATAGTGTTAAAGGTAAAGAGTAAAAAAAAAAATAATCCTCCAGGACGAATGAAAGGAAGAAAGGATGAGGGAGGGAAAAAGGAGAGATGTGGGGTTAAGAAATGTTTTAAAAACCAACCCAGAACCAGAACCACTTTGGCCACCAGTTTCTGGGTCAGCAGTTCAACCATCCAGTCCGAATGGATGGCCCATTGCAATTTAAAAAATAAAAAAATCAAAACAAAAAAATGGTCAAAAACTGTTGTACGGGTCAAATGGGTTGATGGTTCAACCACTCAGGTCACGAGTCACTGACAAAATCAATGGTTTATGGGCAAAAGACCGGGTCAGGGGTGATGGAACCAGTTGCCTGGGAGGCTTCAGGGCCAAATGGTCCAACCGTCCAGGTCAACGACGGTTTGAAAACCATGTGTTGAGAGTTAACGTTGGGAGGGTGGGGAAGTGGAGGAAAGGATGAGGGTGTTGAATGCCAGTCTGGTAGGAAGTTTTGTTGGACTGGATCTGGATGTAGACAAGGTGGAAACCTGGGCGAGTTTTAAATGGGGATGTAACAAGGTTGTGGGGGTTAGGAAGTTGAATGCAGGACTATAACTCTTTATGTTCCACTGTATAGATTGGGCCGAGAAGGTGCTTAAAGCATAACCAAGAGTGGAGAGGGAACTTGACCTCAGACTGCAGTGGTGGTTTCCTGTAGAAGATTCCTTGAACAAAGAAGGAAAGAGGAAGAGAAGGGCAATTGGGATCACTGTGGTTGGAATACCATTACATGCGTGAAGTATCATTCTGTTTAAAGAGATAGGGAAGTTCAATGGGAGGTTTTTGAAATCTGATGATAAGAATAGGAGCTGGTATAGATTAGATATGGCCAGACTACTGGTAGAAGTAGGGGATATCGTTGACATCCAAATAGAATGAAGTTGTTATTCACAAGGGAAGGCTATGAATTAAGGATAGTGGGAAAAGCGAGGTTTCAGGTGAAAGGAAGGAAGGGTGTGATAGTAGGGACAGAGTTAACAGTGCAAACGGTGAAAAGGTGAAGGGTCATTCAGAGTTAGAAGGGGACGAGGCAAGGAGGAAGAAGGGCAATCGTGTATTTCAAATAAACCAAAGGAGGAGTTAATAAGGAAGGCCACGTGGAAGGAGAGGAGGCAGAGAGTATTGAAAACAAAGGGAAACGTGAGAGTTGGGAGCAGGGGGAGAAGAAACAGCACAGGAAGATGAGGAACCCATTGAGGTTTTAAGCCAATTTCAATCGTTGAGATTTGTTTTGCAAAATATATTTTATATATGGATATAAAAGTATATATATGTTACGATTTTGAATTGTTTGCAAAAAGGTTTTATTTCCCGGGATCCATGTGAGTAGAGAGTGCAGCACTGTTCCTTGCAGCCGACGGAGAGGTCCTCTCTTGTCGGGCAGTGTATGATCGTTATGGGCTGAGAGGATAAGTGTATGACCATTGAGGGTAATACCTGATGGGCAAATCTTGCATCTGTCCATAGTCCTTGGGTGTTACAAGGTGGCTTGGCCCAGGGACCACTTAGTGTAAGTGTTGGGCCCAAAGAGTTCATATGATAGGCTCAGGGGGTTCACTGGGCTTTCTAGTGAATTCGCATGGGGCCCACAGGCCAAGAAGAGGAGCTTTTAATAATTTCCAAGGGGGCCATGTCTAGAGTGGGCTGGGGATTAGGAGAGGTAAGGGTACAGTTGAAAGGAAATCTAGTAGAAAAGGTCTTTCGAAAATTTGGAAGGCAGAGAAGATCCAAGAAAACAGGACGAAAACTGGATGTGGGCGATATACAGAATCGAAGGAGATGAGAAGAAGGTGGAGGTACAACAAGGAAGAGGTATTGTTTGAGCAGAAGGCAAGACAAAACACTAGAGAAGAAGTTCTACAAGGATAGAAAAATCTAAGGAAGGTTGTTGCTTCTCAAAAGGAGGATGTCGTAACCGTTTATAGGTAAAGTACAGTGAGTCCTGCACCACCGTTGTCCAGTTCTCCTCCTCCAGCAAAGGGAGTGCCAACATTCTCAATAAAATGACAGTCAGTGGATGAAGGCATCGGTGAATGTTGATGATGATGCAGCGAGCACGAAAGGCCAGAAAGGCCTGAGGATGAGCAGCTTGAGAAAGAGGTAGGTTCTCCTAATACTCGTATCCTCTTGGCTGAGGAGGCGGTGGAGCACAAAAGAAACAAGTTTAGAGAAGAAGGGGCTGGCGGTAGAAAGAGGAAGGCCGTGGAGGAAGTGGGGGTAATAGTGTTTAACAGGAAAAGAAAAGTTGGGGGTCTTGTTACGGAAACTGAAGGGGAGAAGGGAGGGGAGGAGATTAGGAAAAGGTGTCCAGAGAAAGAGAGGGGGGAGAGAAGGAACAATGACAGGGACAAGGGGACTTAGAAGGTCTTCACAAGGGTAGTTTAGAAGTTAACACAATGGTTGAAAAGGGGGTGAAAGAGGGCAAATCTCTGGGTTTGTTTTCTGGGGAGAGGAAGACTTTGCAAGAAGGGCTTTCGAGAAGATTGAGAAGGCCAAGAGGGAAGAGAAGAATAAGAGAGCATAAATTCTAGCAAAGAACAGAGGCTGGAATGAAGAAGGGGGTGAGGAGGAGAAACTGGGAGAGGATCTGTAAGGAGACAGAGCTCAAATTGCATCAGAAGCCACGTAAGGGGTTGATGAGGGGTTTGAGTAGAAGTTTAGGGGCTTGAGGGAGAAAAATGAAGAACAGCGACCAGGTTCAGAATCAGGTCATACAATCAAAAGGCAGCTCTGTTACGAGAAACAAATCTGCTTTCCCGCAATTCAAACCTGAAGGAGATTCGAGGAAGGGGCAGCAGGGAATGGGACCCTAGGGTGTGATCTTGTTATGGGACCATAGGGTGTACAGGAATAGGGGTGATCATCAAAAACCCAAAAAAAAAACAGAACCAATCCGATGAAACCAAACCAAAAATTCTGGTTAACCAAACCGGTCGGCTCAGTTTCAAAACTAACCAGTATATAGATTATATATATTTATGCATATTATACGTATTTTTCATATATATTTTAAATTATCTATATATCATAAATGAATATATATATATATATTCATTAAATATAAAATATATAACAGATTATTTATTATTTATAATTTAATAATATTGTATTTATTTTTAGTGTTTTATTATATATTTATATATTTGTTTTTGATATATATATTATAAATACCAAAAACCGAAAAAGCGATGGACCAAACCAGTGGAAAACCAAACCGATCAATTGGTTAACCAATTGGATTTGGTTTGGTTTTGGTTCACAGTATTCAAAAAAACGGTACTACTGATTTGGTTTGAAAAATAGGCCCATGGTTTGATTAACCAAACTGTGAGCACCCCTATACAAGAAGATAGGTGAAGCATAGTTGTCAAGGCAACAAGGCGCCCTTGGAGTCTCACCTCACCTAACCGCCAAGCAGTTTTGTATGTTGTGTTATAAAATATTTTTATATTTTTAATCTTTTGATATTATAATTATAAAATAGCCACTATTAAACTAAAATATTCATTTTGTATGTTAATGTACTAATTTTTTTATTATCTTCTTATTTCATAGGGTTTAATCAACACAAACATTGCTAGTTGCTGTAATGAACCCTCAAAGACTTCAAAACCTGAACCTATAAGTAAGGAAGAACTTAAGATTTTGTCTAATCAATACATTTTCTTCTTCCACATCATCATCATCTTCTTCTTCTTCCACCTTTTCTTTTCTTCTTTTCGTATAACAAAAATAGGGGTTCAGCCCCTATATTTTTTTAATTTTCTCTTCTTTCTTCCTTTTCTTCTCATGAATATGTTGATTTTCTATACTTTAACATGAAGTTTATACCTCTCTTATGGAAATTATGGATAATTATTAAGGAAATATGATTATGGAACCTAGGGAACTACCCTAGGATATATTTTCTTACTTATATATATATATATATATATATATATATATATTCATCGCCTAGGTGACACCTAAGCAACTAGGCAATAAGGCACCCCCCTGTTGCCTAGCCTTGCCTTGGCACCTTGAAAACTATGGGTGAATTGGCGTTGTGGTTTTAATAAACGTCTAGAGTTATAATCCCCTTGCTGTGTGCAGGGTTGTTTGGAATCAGAGGAACAGGACTCAGTTCGAAGATGATCAGATTGTTTTTTTACTAGTTCGGTTGGTGATCCCTGGTTTTGAACAGATTAGCAGTTCAGATTTGGGGGGGGGGGGATCTTGGAATGTTCTTGAAATTCAGAATTTTATCAGCGATCAGATTGTACTTTTTCGTCTTTAGCTGTTTTATTTTGGTGAGGTGCCATCTTGTCACCTCTTAACCTATATCCTTTTTTCTTATTAACAAAATTTCTTTTTTTTCTTACTCTTCAAAAAAAAAACTGTTATCAACCTTTAAAACATACCTCTGACCAAACCTATCTGTGGGGGCCTCCAATTGGCTTGCTCCCTTGGAACTTGTATAAGGTCATTGGTTGTGGAAGACTTTTTATCCCCTCTGCTATTCCCAAAAACTCCTTTAGCTTTGCCTTTGTCAGAGGAAATATTTACATTTGTATCCCCTGATAAAAAAGAGAGGTTAGATGAAAGAAAAAGCAAATAGAAACAGGATAAAACTTTTAAAATGTTTTTATTGGTCAGATTTTTAATACTCTTCAAACAACAATTTAAAGAGTGCCCCACACTCAGTTCACCCTCTTTTTGAGTGGAGAGGTGGTTGCACAGTCCCCCTAATCCCTATTTAAGCTCCTTGAAGGAAGGCTACCGCTTTATTACCAAGAGAATTCTTAAGCAACCCTAACACTGGAGGAGACACACACACAGAAAATGTTTATGGAGAGGAAAAAAGAAAGGAGAAAGAAAAGGTAGAGGAAGAAAACACCCAGAATATCTATTTTGGGGGATTCTAAAATAAAAGAAGTGCAGAAGGACCACCAACTGCTTGTGAAGTTGTACCCGGTTGATTATAATTTCTCTACTAGAGTTGCTTCTAAAAAAAGTATATAGGGATCAAGCCATCTAAGACCTTGTTCTATAGCGGCTGACTATTGCTCCCTACCTAAAGACTGAAGAAAGGAAGAACAAAAACCTTCTACAGTCTAATTGCTTGATCTGATTAATTATAGTTCCCTTCCAAGTGCAAGATCTTAAAAAATAATGGCATAGCTTTTTTTGGATAGGTAACTAAGTTATGTTTTTTTATCAATAATCAGGAATAAGATTTCATTAAATTGATTAAAGAAGCACAACGAATAGTTGTGAAGGTTACAAATAGGCACCTACTGTCCAAGCCCCAAAATTACAATTGATCCCAAAACATAGTGTGTCTATGTACCCCTTGTTTGGCTAAACTATCCGCACTGTTGGTCGATCTTCTAATCCAATTAATTTGAGACAACATATCCCTGGAGAGCCTTTTGAACAATTGAACCTCAGAAGATCATTCCTTAGGTGTTACTGAACCAGCTGGGCCCGAGAAGAAGGCACATATATTACCTTCCTCATCCCTGATCACTCCTCCATTCCAGTGGGGCCTGGATTACTGATAGAACCCAGTCTACTCCACCCACTGGGTGTACTCCAAACCAGAACCCAAACAAACCTGGACACACCCCAGGGACCACTCAACCTCACCAACTAGACCCACCATCCAATATGTTTATCTGAGAAGGCCACGTCAGACCTGAGAATAACTAACTGCACATGGCTTCACATGCTAAGCCTACAAGTATCAGTTGAGAAAGGGAATGCATCATGAGAATTTTCCCCTGTTAATCCCTATCTTCTTCTTCTTCTTCTCTAAGGAGGTTGAGTCACCCTTGAAACCGACTCCTGAAGTTGAGCAGTAACTCAACAATTGGTATCAAAGCGTCAATTCATGCCCAACACCAGATCGGTCTCGATGGAAGACAGAGTAGACAAGATTGAGGTTAGCTTACACAAGTTCGAAGGAGACCTGAGAGACGTCAAGGAAGCTCTCTAGGTGATAATGGCTCAGCATGACAAGGCAGGCACTGATGAGGGAAAGGAACCAGAGGGCGAAGGGTCCAGTGGCGGAACCAGTCACGGGAGTGGTGAGGCCATATCATGGTTCCATCACCTCCATCTACCTGGAAGGTGAGGCCATATCATGGTTCCAGTGGTACAAGAACTCCCATCCTCACGTTACATGGTCTACCTTTACAGAGGAGTTGTGTGTGAGGTTTGGATCATCTGCCTATGTCGATTTTGACGAGGCTCTGTCCAAGGTGAAGCAAACCACCACTATTCAGGAATATTTGGTGGAGTTCGAGAAGCTGTTGACCCACGTCACCGGTTGGACTAGGCCCTAATCAGAAGCTTTGTGGAAGGCCTTCAGGAAGACATTCGTTTGGAGGTCAAAGCTTGGCGACCCTCGACGTTGTCTGCTGCAGCTTCCCTAACCCATATTCAAGAAGAGAAGCTCGACCGGCTTAAGAGGATGAACTGGGGTCCTGGCTCTCTCTTAAAAAACCCACCAGTTCAGGTAGAAGCTCCAATGGTGAAGAACAGTGGGCCCATGAGCCCAAGTAGCATGCCCTTCAAATGGTTGGCCTGGGCCAAGATGCAGGCCCAACACGAGAAGGGATTGTGCTACAACTGCAAGGAGAAGTTCGGACCAGGTCACCATTGTAAGAAATTCAACCCAGACCATGAAGGTAGAGGGGCTCTTGATGGGTCGGGCTGTTATTATACTAATTGATAGTGGAAGCACCTTAAACTTTATTAATATTGGGCTAGCAAAACAAATGGGCTTGGTGGTGCACTCCACTGAACAGTTCTCAGTCCAGGTGGCTAATGGTCACAAGCTGACTTGTGATGGTCTATGTAAAGGGGTGAAGTTGAAGATACAAGGTAAATGGGTGACAGTTGATCTATACACCCTGGAGTTCAGTGGGGCAGACATAGTCTTAGGGGTGCAATGGTTGCGACAGTTGGGTCGCGTGGTGTGTGACTGGAGCAACCTCACCATGGAGTTCCATTTGAATGGAGTGGAACACATGTTACAAGGGATTAAGCCAAGGGTGGTGCTAAAAGAGACCCAAGACTCCGACCTGAAATACTGCCAATGGGCTAAACAGCCAGTCCTTATACAACTGAGTCTCATCATGACAGACCCAATTATGCCGGTGAACTTAAACCAGAAACCAGAACTGGACCAACTATTGCAACAGTTTCAGGATCTGTTTGAGCAGCCCAAGGGGCTTCCCCCAATCCGGGCCCAAGATCACCGCATTTGTGTACAATCCAGGGCCCTACCAGCTAATGTGAGGCCCTACCAGTATCCCCGCTTCCAGAAGACTGAACTTGAGAAGATTGTCCAGGAGATGCTGAACCACAAATTGATTCAGCCCAGCACCAGTCCATATTCATCACCAGCCCTAGTAGTCAAGAAGAAGGATGGACCTTGGCAGTTTTGTGTGGATTACCAGGCCCTCAACCAAATAACAATCAAGGACCGGTCTCCTACTCCCATTATAGATGAACTTCTAAATGAGTTGAGGGCTGCCACAGTGTTTTCTAAGCTGAATTTACGCTCGGGTTATCACCAAATCCGAGTGCATCCCGATGATGTTCACAAGACGGCCTTCAGAACACATGATGGCCATTACGAGTTTTTGGTAATGCCTTTTGGCCTCTCTAATGCGCCTTCTACATTCCAATCCCTGATGAATGACATTTGCAAGCCTTTTTTGAGACAATTTATACTCGTTTCCTTTGATGACATACTCGTCTACAGTGTTGATCGGGCCACTCATCTAGAACACTTATGGATCACCTTGGGAATTCTTCAAGCCCAGCAAATGTGTCTTCGGCTAGGATCAGGTCCACTACTTGGGCCACATTGTGAAGGCGGGAAAGGTGTGAGCTGACCCGGACAAAATCCGTTGCAGGATATCTTGGCCTAGGCCCACCACAGCGAAGGGGCGGAGAGGGTGTTTGGGTCTCACGGGCTACTACATAAGGTTTATTAAGGGGTATGGTTCCCTAGCTGGCCCACTGACCCAGCTGCTCAAAAAAGATGGGTTTATTTGGACAGAAGAAGCTCAACAGGCCTTCGAGAACCTCAAGAAGGTTGTCACTTCACCTCCAACATTGGCGCTGCCGGACTTCATTCTTCCCTTTGAAATTGAATGTGATGTGTCTGGAGCGGGTTGGGAGCTCTTGATGCAACAGGGGCACCCCTAGCTTACTTCAGCATGTTATTTTTCTCGAAAAGGACTCCTTTGAACATGTTGTTAAGTTGTTTCTGCCATCCTTCTCTGTTTTGTATAATTTTGGTTCTGCAGATGATCCTCCTCTTAGTCCTCAACAGTTGCAGGTTTACTACAGGAAGCATCCAGTTCCCCCCACGCATGTGCCCCCTCCATCTTCAGCACCAGAGCTTGTGCCTTCTCCTTCTGTTACTTCCACTGTAAGTTATCCTCATGTTGACTCACTTGCTCTTGTTTCCTTACATCACTCCACTCGTATTTCTCGACCTCCTGACCACTATGGTTTTCCTCCAAATCATAGCCCCCATCTGTTCTTTTGTCCTCCACAGATATTCCAAAGACTTATCAACAAGCCATGGCTGTTGAGAATTGGAAAGATGTTATGGATGCAGAGATTGAGGCCTTAATTGAAAATGATACTTGGGATCTTGTTCCTCCTCCTCCAGATGCATCTCTCATTGGCAGTAGATGGGTTTACTCAATGAAACTCAAATATGATGGCACCTTGGACAGATACAAAGTTCATCTACTAGCACAAGGTTACAAGCAAGAGTATGGCATTTATTATGATGAAACATTTGCTCCAATGGCCAAGATGACTACAGTTCATCTCATTTTGGCCATTACTGCCATAAGACAGTGGATTGTGCATAAGATGGATGTTAAGAACATTTTTCTTCATGGACTCACACAGGAGATGGTGTATATGAAACCTCCCCCTGGTTACTGTGATGATCCTCACTCGGTCTACAATCTCAAAAACCACTTTATAGGCTCAAACAAACTCCCGGAGTTCCGTTTGAACGTTTCCGTTCCATTGTTCTAGAAGCCAGTTTTCAGTAGAGTTCTTCCGACTCTGTTTACCCTCAATCGGGGCCAAGGATTAACACTCCTTTTGGTATATGTGAATGATATCCTGATTACTAGTGATGATAGGGATGGGATTAATGAATTGAAGTTCCTTCTAAGCAACACCTTCAAAATGAAGGATCTAGGGTCAGTCACTTATTTTTTGGGTCTAGAAATTAAAACCCATCTCAAGGGTAATTTTCAACCAATAGAAGAAGTATGCTTCTGATCTTGTGAAGATGGTCTGTCTTACAAACTCTAAGTAGGTTCACACTCCATTGGAACTCAATCTAACGCTAAGGATGGTGGTGACTTGCACCCTGATGCCACTCTATATCGGCAACTTGTGGACAATCTCATTTACCTTAAGTGGGAGTATTTCTGTAAAACTATGTATTAGGGCGTCATTTTGCTTGGAGGCAGCTATATAAGCCTCATATCATGTTTGTAGAGGGATCCTTCGACTGTTTTGAAACCCAAAAGACTAGTTCTATCCACATAAGTGGTGATTTCAGCCCTATAGTGCAGTGTTCGTCGTTCCAGCTTCAACTATGTTGTTTCACATCAAGATTTTATCACTTCTAGTTGTTGTTTTTCTACTGGGTTTTACATTTTGCTGCATCTGACAGGTTTGGGATTTTGGAACCCGTACAGGTACAGGAAGGGTCTGGTATTGGGCTAAACCCAATACTTGTTTCATGAGGATTATGGTAATTATTAGTTAAAGATTACTACCGACTACTATAAAACCAAGGGAACTACCCTAGGATTTATATACACTTTAATTCATCACCTAGGCAACAAGGCACCCCCTTGTTTCCTAGCTTTACCTTGGAACCTTGAAAACTATGCCAACAAATAAGGAAATGAAGGCATATGCAAAAAGAAATTAAGAAGAGTTTATTTTAAGAAATAAATTTTGATTTACTGAATTCCAATTGCTCCTAGAAATTTCTCTCTTTTCCCCCTCTCTCTCTCACCTATTTCATCCTCTAAGTAACATATCTCATTGCTGTTTATCCTAACAGCAAGAGTTCACCTCATTCTTTCTACTTTCTTACTCTACATTTGGAAGATAACAAGCTGTCTACTTGATTATCTACCCCTACACTTCATCCTACATCACCCAAAGCCTGTATTTAACCTCTACAAATCCCACCACCAGACCCCTACCCAAAGCTTGTCTATGCCAAACACACACACACAAGAAACATATAATTCTTTTGTGTAAATTTGTCAGAAGAACCAAAGAGTTCTTTAAATTGCCATGGTAACTGGATAAAAAACGCAAGAAACATAAAATTATTTTGTTCAAATTTGTCAGAACAACCAAAGGTTTTTTTTTTAGAAGAGGTAAAGTATGAACTTCAGAACAGCCGAAAGGTTCTTTATATTGTCATGGTAACTGGATAAAAAAACACAACAAATTCAAAGAGAACCTTCACAGATTAGAAACTAGGACAACAATCAATTTACGATTATTGTAATCAATATGAATAAGATACTCACGTTGGGCAACTTTTGGCTTCACTTTTGAGTTATCCTTGTAAATAGGTTTTGAGCCCCCCTTGCTTTGCTTACCCTTTTGTGCAGGTTTTGCAAGTGATGCCCTTACATTCACCTAAACAAATAGAAGAAAAAACCAAGTAATTCAAAAAGGAGCAAACAATGTAATAACACAAATAACAAATATATAAAAAGAAAACCTTGGATCCCTCGTCAATCAACCCCTCCTTATTGATTGACTCTATACACGCCAGTGCAGCCTCACGAGTTGTATAATTAATGAAGGCAAAGTCTTTTCTCTTAGCTGAATGCATATTTCGTGCAAGAACAACTTTCTCAATCTCCCCAAATTCTTTAAAATGCTTCCTCATTTTTTCCTCGTCCCAAGAAGTCGGTAAACCTTCTGCAAAAACTGATTTAACCTGCATAAAAGCAAGACATTGAAATAAAACATGCCATGTCCAGCAAGCCTTAATGGAAACTTCTAACCAAACTGGTGACACTTTCCTCAAAGGTGTCTCCCAAAATGAAAATAATTAAACAAGAATCTACAAGCGTAAAAATTTAAAGTACAAAAGGGGAAAATAACTCCAAGCTTGGAAATCTAGATACAAACCTTCAGCATCTCCTCTTCATCTGGCTCTTGTAGAGGTTCAGCCCAAGCAACACTTATATTCCGGTTCTTTCCAAAAGCATCCTTCTTTTGAAGTTTCTTGTATGCATTTTGTGCATCCCTATTAGTTTCAAGCTCAATAAATGCAAACCCGCGATTGCGCTCAGCATTACTAGGATCAGGCATAACTGTAACTGTGTCAATTTTCTCAATACCAATTTCCTCCAACACCTTAAGTATCTGTTACATCAAAATATTCACATTGAGAATTTGAGATGCATAAAAAAATTCCAAATAGGAGGAACAGATGAATAGTAGTATAACCAAATCAAAACCATACATCTTCTTTCTTCCATTTCTTGTCAATGTTGCCAAGAAAAATTGTGTCATTGCCCTCAACTGGAGCTGTACCACATTGTTTTCCGCAGACCTCAAATGAATTTCACCAAAACACATCAAGTTAGAACATGAAGTCATGAACAACGTATTTGCAAGAAAAATATCAGCCAGAGTGTAGGCATGCTATCCATAGTAAAACTAAACAAGTCATGTATGGTTGTTGACAAGCTGCAGCATATCACAGGATGAGAAGATGGTATGTAAGATGAAGACATGGAAAGAAAAGAATATTTTGAGGATAGATCATCATCATGGGATGTATAGAATATGAAATAAAAATTAAACATGATTAATACAGCAACAAAAGAGAATACAAAAAAACAAGGGATGCTTAATATGAAAAAACAAGGAATGAGATTGGTAATCTGGTTCTCCTTTACTTGGGTCCTCTAAGAGCTGGGAACACTAATAGGGCAGAATTGTCAGCTGCCATCCAGGGTGCACAGGTTATAGTTCAGCTAGATGTGAAACAACTGGTAGTGGGTTGTCTACAGAACCCAGAGTCTATACTCTGGTGAAGTTAAAAAATTCAAGTGGCTGACAAGGAGCTTGACTGTAAGAATACAATGGGTGAGGAGATCAGCAAATGCTTTGGCAGATTATCTAGCAAAGTAAGGGGAAAACAAGGAACAATTGTATAAGGCTCAATTGATTTGACTTTGTTTTCTGTTTTCTTCTTGTTGTTGGAAGAGGATGCAGCTCATGCCTCTTCATGGGAAGCTTGTATCTGAACTGCTCTTTCTCTTAATGAAATCTTAATTTAATTATAAAAAATTCCTATTGTTCTCTTGAGAAAGTTTGGTTCATAAAACTTTAAAGTTCCACATAATCACAAAATAAAGATAATTACAACAGGCGACAGTATAGCCCACTTAAAATTTGTGTAACAAGGGCATTCCATTTACTTCAATTTCACACAATTTCTACAATTCCAGGCTTTCTGAGGTTATTATATCAAATGCTAAAAAACACCACCTATGGTCTTTGGTTTATAATGTTCTACCTGAAAAGGAATATAAATAACTAGTCCATAAATTATCTCTCCTTGTTCTTTCTTTTTCCCCTTGAGTCTATCGATGTTTTAAAAGGCGGGGGAGGCATACGCCTGGAGGCACCCCAAAAGTCCAAAACGCTTAGAGGTGCATGAAGGAAGAGCTCAGAAATGTGAGGCATAGACCTCATGCAGAGATGCGTGCCCAGATGCGTATGATTCCAGGGAGGCGTACGCTTCTGTCATGCCTTGGGCAAGAAGCGTACGCCTCACAAGTGTGGCATTTTAAACATTTAACAATTTTAATTGTTTAAATTTTTTTAAGCTTTAATTGGCGGGGCCACGATTATATCATAGCCCCCATTGTATTGTATCATTGTTTAAGTGTAAAGAGGGGAGAAAAAGCCCCCCTATCAGTTCAATTTGCAAGACCAAAGTTAGGGCTCGAAAGTGTGAAAACTGTGAACCTCTGAAAGATGAAGCTCTCAACCTACACACTTAGTTAAATCTTCTGGTATTTTCAAGCTTCAGCGGTCTGGTATGTATATTTTTTTCTCAACCTACACACTTCAACATCACATATGAGTATTTTTATTTTTCTTTTCTTCTTTTTATTTGCAAATGAAGAAAGGGCTCGAGTGAACCTGTGCAGCAGTGACCTGTGAAACAGCATACTTGTTTTTTATCAATAACACAATTCATTAATTATAACAATAATAATTACAAAGACGAAGATGAAGTTTCTTATCTTCCAACTTCAGCTTGAGCCCCAAGAAAGGAAACAAGAGAAAAAGAGAAAAAATGAGAAAAGAAATTTAAATTACATCTGTGCCCAGAACATTGAATCGCTCTCCACCCCTTGTTTAGCTAACCCATCAGCAAAGGAATTAGCTGATCTTTTTACCCAACTGATTTTAACTTCCATTTCTCGAACCAGCCATCTGAATTTCCTCCTCACATTGCTTTAATTCCATAAACCACTATCATCTTTATTCAGCTACCCTACCACCACCTTCGAGTCTCCTTTCAATTATGAGTTTTCTGATACTCATCTCCCTAGCTTTCTGGACTCCTTCCATAACTGCATGGATCTCAGCTCTGAGAGAGTCGCCCACTCCAATTGGGCCTGAGAACATGGCAGAAACAACCCCATTCTCATCCCTGAAAATACCCCCAATCCCTGATTGTCCAGGGTTCCCTCTGCTACTTCCATCAAAAGTTTAGTTTTATGAAACCCGCAGGTGGGGGGGGGGGTCCAAGACACACTTATTACTGTATAATCTGTGAATAGCTAGCAATCTCACCCCACTTCCTCAGCATGTCATCCACTGTATAATCTGTGAATAGCTCTAGGGATTTCATCCACTATACAGCCCTTATATGGATCAGAGCCCTCAGTTCTTCATCACCTCTCTTTACTTCAGAGAAGATCCTGGAGTTTCTTTCTTCCCATAAAGATCAGCATATTGCAGCCCTCCCTAAATAGTCCTTCCCCTTTCATACACCACCTGAAAAAAGGAGAAAATAGACTTTGCAGATTTGATGGAGGATTCCAACTACACCCAAAAAGAGAGAAAGCCCACTCCCAAATAGACTTTACAAATTGGCAAGACACCAGTAGATGAAAACCAGTCTCCCCATCAGCTTTACTAGAACACGCCAGTGAGGGGACAAACAAGTATTGGGTCTCTTCTTTTGGAGCAAATTACCAGTGTAGATCTAAAACCCTTTGGCCAAAGCACCTTCACTTTTTTTGGGATAAGTGCTATGAAAGTAGCATTCACCCCTGGAATTTATTATTCCTCTCTCAAAGAATTTGTTAAACACCATTGTAAATCCACCAGACCCTAGTGCCTTTGTTCTATCTTTTTGAGAAGACAGCTTCCTTACTCTTTTCTGCTGAAAACTTCCTTTCAAGATACTCCTGTTTTCCTCTTTCAACCTAGGCCATTCAAATCTCTCCACTACTAATCCCTCCTCTAAGGATCCCTAGAAAATTGATTTAAAATAGTCCACAAACTTCCTTGTTTATTCCCTCCGAATCATGGACAACCTTACCCTCTGCTTCTAATTTTAAAACAATTGTTTTCCTTCCTCCATTGGCCAATGAATGAAAAATACTATTCCCATCCCTCTCTTTGATCCATATATATCTAGAATTTTGTCTCCAAGAAATTTCCTCTTTCCGAAGAATTTCTTCCATTTGTTTCTTCATATTCCATCTTATCTCTTTATCTTCCTCCCTAAAGATATTTCATTTTTTATCAGCAACACAGAAAAGATTTCATTAAAATTAGATAAAAGAGGTACAAGTTTGCAACAACAAGTTGTGAAAAGAAATAACAGACTCAAGAGGACATATTTAACCCAGAAAATTACAAGTGAGCCCAATACATAGATTGTCTCTGAACCCCTTCCTCAGTCCATCTACCAAATGGTTTGCAGATCTTCTAACCCAATTGACTTGAATCATCATTTCTTTAGATATCCATTTGAACCTTCTATAATCATTCCTTAAATTTCGAATTTTTTCTTCTCCCTTTTTCAGCCAACTCACGATTGATCTCGAGTCCCCTACAATAATCAGCCTTTCAATACCCAATTCTTTTGCTTTCTCCACCCCATAAACTGCTGCCAAAAATTCTGATCTGAATACATCATATTGCCCAATTAACCCTGAGTACAAGGTCCTCGTACATCTCCAGTTCTCCACAAGGTCCTACCCCTCCTCTTAGAGCATCTAAAGGCAGATGGGCTACACACAACCCTTCCAGGCTGATAGGAGGCGACCACCTGCACCCAAAAAGAGAAGAAAACCAATCCCAAATGAAACTAACAAAAGGATAGGAAATAAAGAGATGAAGAGCAGTCTCACCATTCAACTTACATAAAAAACACCAGCTAGGGGACATGCACCAGTTTGGTCTCTTCCTTTGGATAATGCTGTAGGTGTTAATACAACTATGAAGCACTTCCCAACAGAAGGCACAGACTTTTGGTGGAATGGGGGGACACCAAATTTCCTTAAAAGGGAAAAAAGGAGACAGGGAAGTAGCTACAAGGGTATTGAAGAAAGACTTGCAAGAAAAAAGCCCTGCAGCATTAGGAGCCCACACCCCAATATCCAACCCATCTTCCCCCAAAACCACCAAGTTTAACAAGCTTAGCAAATTTGACACACTGGATATTTCAGACTCACTAAGATTCCTAGTGAACCCAAGGTTCCAATTAAGCCCTGAGGGGGAAAAATGCTAGGAAATGAAATCAGACACAGGTCTGCCTTAAGGCAGGAAAGAAAAAAGGGAAGGAAAGATCTTCAGACATAGAGTGCTCTCCAACCCAAACATCTTCCCAGAATATAATTTTCTAACCCAAAGCCAGACCATACCTAACATGGTTGAGGAAGGCAGAAAGGATGCCATGGATAGCTTTCCAAAGAGCAACCAAAGAAGCTCTATGCACACAACCAGCATCCCATCTGTTGTTTGACAGCCCATGGATACTAGCAATAACTTTGTACCACAATCTTTCATTTTCCTTAGGGAACCTCCAAAGCCATTTGCTTAACAAGGCAATACTTTTAAATCTAACATTTCCAATTCCTAGGCCTCCTTTTGCCTTCAACTTACCAACTTTGCCATCTTACCAAGTGATCTTTCTTACTTCTCCAAGTTCCCATAGAAAATCCAAAATCCCTCATGATTTTGTCAATTTTTCTCACCACCCCTTGAGGCATTCTAAACACAGACATGTAATACACCAAGATGTTGCCCAAAGTGGATTTAACTAGGGTGATTTTCCCTCCTAAAGAAATATAATTCCTTTTCCACCCTGCCAGTCTTTTCTCAAACCCTCCCACCACCGGAATCCAAAACCTAGTGGTTCTAGGGTTGTCACCAAGAGGTAAGCCTAAATACCTCAAAGGCCAATCCCCTCTCTCACAACCTAAAGATTCTGCCGAAGCACTCAGTTCACCCTCTTCTACACTGATGCTATTTGGACCAGTTTATCCTCAAATTGAGCATCCTTTCAAAGAGCTTTACTACCAATCTCAAGTTTTCCAAGCCATCTCTACTATCTTCATCACAAAAGACTAAGAGATCATCTGCAAATTGCAAATGAGTAACCAAAATTCTGTCTCCCTACAAACCACCTCTTGAACAATTGCATACTATTAGCTCTTGAAATCAACTTACTAAGGACCTCCGCAACCAAACTAAAAAAGAAAGGGTGAGAGTAGATCCTCTTGTATTAAACCTCGAAACCCTTCAAAGAAGTCAACAATCGAGCCATTTAAAATTACTGAATAATGACTTGTTTGCAAGCATCCTCTAATCTATATACACCACTGTTTCCCAAATCTACACCTCTCATAGTAATTAGTATTAACCAAGAACTCTAAATCCACCAGATTGTAGGCTTTTTCCAAGTCCAATTTGATTGCAATTCCACTTTTCCTTAGTCTCTTTTGGGCCTCCACACACTCAAAAGCAATTAGGATTTGATCAATTATTTGTCTATCTTTTTTTTTTTGATAAATCAATTATTTGTCTATCTTGAAAGAAGGCCCCTTGATATTAGGAGATAATTGAGGGGAGTACCCTTTTGATTCTCAGGGAGAGTACCTTAACAACTATTCTATAAAGATGGGTAACTAAGCTGATAGGTTTGAAGTCCCGACGTTGATTAGCACCTAAGTTTTTAATAAAAAATTTTCTATATCCTTTAAAAAAAATTAGCACCAATCTCCTTTGGAACCAAGGCTAGAAAGGTTGAGTTCATTCTCGAGCTGATTGCCCCCCATCTATGAAATTCCTTGAATACTTTGATTAAATCAGCTTTGATTATATCACAACAGTCTTGATAGAACGCCATTGTAAAACATCAAGACCCGGAGCTTTGATCTCTCCATTGTAACACAGCTTCCTTAATTTCATCCTCAACAAACCATCTTTCTAACACCTCCACTTCATTTCCTCCCAACACCTCCCACTCAAGCCCATCAACATTCCATCTCTCATTAAGTGGCCTTCTATAGATTGATTTGAAATGTTCCACAAAGGCCTTTGCAATTTCACCTTGATTTGTAATCTCAGATTCCCCACCACTAAAGAGGTAATAAGAGTCTTTCTTTTTCTACCATTAGCAACGGCATGGAAAAATATCGTATTACCATCACCCCCCTTGATCCACTTCTCTCTTGACTTCTGCTTCCAGCTTATTTCCTCTCTAAGCAAAGTTTCCTCTAATTCTTTTTTAAAGACCATTTTAACTCCCTGTCACCCTCTACTAGGGAACCTTCTATCTCCTTTTTATCAAATTAATCAATTTGTGAGATCAAATTTCCTTTTTTCTCCTCCAATCTCCCAAACTTCTGCCTATTCCATTCTCTGATTTCTCCTTTTAGCATTTGCAACTTCAGAAATTTTTTACCATCCCAACATGGTAGTTGAATTTGGGTGTCCCACCAGTCCTTGACTCTTTCTTTAAACCCCGGGTGAGTAAGCCACATGTTTTCAAACCTAAAAGGGATCGGACCACCAAAAGCAGACCTTTGCAACAAACAAATTGACCAATGGTCAGAAGTGATTCTAGGTAAAGTTCTCCCCAAGAGGCCATTCCAATGTTCTTCCCAATCTAATGACACCAAAAACCTGTCAAGCTTAGAAAATATGGAGTTAGCTTGAAGATTAGACCAAGTGTAGCATGAAAGCCCCAAAGGAATATCTCTCAATTCAAAGGCCTCAATAAAGTCATTGAATCTCCTCATACTTGTAGCTAACCTTTGTCTACGACCATTTGTCTCTTCCACAAATCTGATTGAATTGAAGTCTCCTCCTAAGCACCAAGGTCCTTCCCATAACCCCCTAATGTCTGCTAGCTCTTCCCACATTAAATTTTTCCCTATATATGAGTTTGGCCCATATACATTTGTGAGAACCCATTCAAACCCATCTTGCATATTCCTCAATCTAACAGAAACTGAAAACTTGCCTATCAATTCCTCAATACATTGTACCATTTCCTCCTACCAGACTGTTATTATGCCCCCTGAAGCTCCCCATGATGGTGCAAAACTCCAATTAGCAATTTAGCATGTCTTTCTCCCCAAAAGCTTCTAACCCATTTTCTATCTACCTCCTCAATTTTAGACTCTTGGATCAGCACTAAATCAAGTTTCTCCTTCTTAAACAATTCTTTAATTGCTCTTCTCTTTCTAGAACTCCCTAGCCCCCCACATTCCAACTAATAATCTTCATGGATACAATCTGATTTTCCCATTCCCTCTTTCTTCCTACAGTCCTCCCTTCCTTTCCCCCTCCCCTCACACTAAATTCTTTGTCCCCCTCCACATTACTGATGAGTTTCCCAACTTCATTCAGTTTTTTCTCCTTCCCTTACATCCCCCCTCTTTATCTTTTCTATTGAAAGCCTTCTCTTGCTTAGAATTATCTATTTTAAGGCCCATTTTAACGGCCAAGTTTATCTATTTTATAATAAATCAGAATTAAAAATAAGAAAAGAAAATATCRRATAAYCTTGTAAAAACATCAAAATGCATAATAAATCAGTAAATCATCATTTACTAATTTGTTATTGATCTTAGTTTCTTAGCTTTATATAATGGTTGGTAATAAAATAATAGTCTAGAAATATGTATTAATGCTTCTCTTATCATTTTACAAAATATCATTGCATATTTCCACAATGTCTCTAATTTTTACAATATTTCCGCTCGACATTTCCGACATATGTCTTATATTTTGGTAAGCGACATTTCCATCAACATTGACATTTTAAACCTTGTTGCAACCTACCTTTACACCCCTCTTTAAAGTTGCAGGCCTGGAAGCCTAGCCCTGCCCAGTCCATGATCACCTATAATCCTTATTCATACTCATAATTGTCCCTAGTTCTTTAAGCAGATATACAATTTGCCTCCCTTACATTCAAACCTCTTTCTCAAGACACCTTTTGGTTACCATGTTGTAGGTGTTTTTCACAAATCACAATGACCTGGCCTTTCCTTTATCGGGGCTTTCCTGGCACCATGATAGCCAGGCCAGGGACGTTATATGTCTTGATTATTGGATGGGCGATTTTATTGCACATTCTTGCCTCCTCTATTTTTCTTGTGGTAGATATCTTTTGCATGAGCTGAGTGCCTTGTCTTTTCCCCTTCTTTTTCATATCTGTTATCAACCACTTGTTTGTTCTTTTGAGCTCCCAAGGCTAAATGAAGGAGACTAGCAAATACAAAAGAATGAACAATTTTTTTTGTAGTAAGTTTTTAGGAATTATGATGTTATGATAGATATCATTCTACATTTTAAACAAAGGAAACCAACCAACTCGAAAGATTGGTAACACATCAGCCATATCAACACTACAAGATATATCTGCCTACAATTTCAGGTAATTGGAAGAAGCCAAATTTACGAGCAGAATACGAACATAAAGCTTCCAAAACCATAATCTAATAGAAGTAAACAAACAATCTGTGCAAAGAAAAGTACCTCCACTTTGGCGTATTCGATCAAAGCTCTCTTAGCATCAGCTGCCGATGCATATCTCAAGAATGCATAGCCTTTGTTTTTTCCTGTTTGACTGTTCATCATCAATCGAATCTCCACGATCTCACCAATCTTCTCAAAAACCTTCCGGATATCCTCCTCCTTTGCATCCTTATCCAGACCCCCAATAAAAATCTCTGTCCTCCTCCTTCTCCGCCTCTCGGAAACCTCCATTTCCTCGTCCCTAACCGCTCCGTCACACTTCTCATCTTCCTCCTTATTACCACTAGCCTCACATTTCTCCACTACATCCATCGGCACCACATCTTCCCCATTGCCTCCAGCACAAGACTCAGCACATACCGCCTTGCACCCATCAGTCTTAGCACCCATAGAATCAGCATTGGAAGCTTCAACCAGATTATCGAAAATAGAACCAGGGCCACAATCAGCAACACTTGATTCAGCATATTCAGCCATGCATCCATCAGTCTTGGCCCCCATAGAATAAGCATTGGAAGGTTCAACCGGATTATCGGTAACAGAACCAGGCCCACCATCAGCAACTTCAGCACCATTGCTCTGAGCTCCAACTGAATCAAGGCTAGCATCTTTGATACCAGAACCGGGGTTTTCGGGTTCGGAAGCCTCAGACTCGTGGGGCTTTTCTATTTCAGTCGGGACCATAGTGAGAGGATTGAGCTCTGCCTCTTCTTTCTTAAACTCTTCATTTGAAGGAGCATCTGGAGCCTTTGCAACCCGCTTAGGAACAACTTTCTTCTTGATAACCTTCTTCACAACCTTGATGGTTTTCTTGGTTACCGATTTAGTAGTAGCCTGACCGGTGGCCTCAGCAACGGCATTACCAATGGTATCTGGATTGGCGGTTCCATCAGCGGTTTCCGGAGCAGTGGTGTCATTAGTATCTTCCGGAGGATTGGCTTTATCAGTGGTTTCCGGGGTGGCATGTGCGGTGATTTCCGGTTTTGTTTCGCTGGCAGTTTCAGAGCCATTTTCTAGTGTGGGTTCGACATTGGTTTCAGGGACAACGGTTGGGGAGGTGATTTCTTGCGTGGGTTCGGCGGCGATTTCAGGGAGAGCGATTTGGGAGGGGGCTTCTGCGGAAGGTTCGGGAGGAGAAATTGGGGTGGTGATTTCCTGGGTGGGTTGGCTGGGGGTTTCAGCAGCGGGTTGAGGGGTGGTATCGACAGGGGTTGAAGAGGTGGCAGTTTCTGGGGTTGGTTCAGAGGGAGCTTCACGGGAGATTTTAGCGTTGATTCTGGGGGACGTTCTAGTGGCGGTTTTAGCCGAGGTTTTAGGGGTGGTTTTGGCGGAGGCTCTCTTCGGACGGGGGCCGGACGATGCCTTGGGGGCCATTTCTCGGTGGCGTTTCTTTTTTCTTTTTTTTTTCCGGAGAGAGAAGGAAAAAGAAGGAAGAATAGCGACGCACTGTGCCTCTCTGGAGAAGAGGATTGTGGAGGAAACAAGCACTAAAGTTAAAATACGAATATAGCCCTACTGTCTTACTTAATTCCGAAAATGTATATTGTATTAATTGAATACCGATTTGGCCCAATATTATTGTGTTCGGTTCCATTGTCATTTTTGAGAAAAGATCATTCGTTACATTATATAATTTCTATCATAGTTATGATAAAAATTGAAAATTAAAAAAAGTAACAATATAATTAAAAACAAATTTAGAATATTTGTTACTCAATTATGATATCATAGGTTTTTTGAAAAAATTAGATCATTAATCCACCATTTAAATAAGAAAATAGCATTGTTTTTTTATTAGTTTTAAATTAGAGAAAATTATATAATCAAAGCCGACTCTACATTTAAAATTAGGTTACAAATTGGGCTATAAACCATCATAACTCTAACAATGGGCTCTATATTTCAAATTAAAATAACCTTTGCCATGTCATTTGAGGCATCGCCAACATGAGACTCTTAATCCATCTTAAAAACAACAAAAATCTTATAATGAAATTGCCATTTAATGTTGAGTGATTGGAAAGTAAAAAATAAAAAATTTTCAGTCTCTCTCTCTCTCTCTCACATACACACACACCATCTTTATCTACTCAATGACTATGTGTTTTGAAAATAAATAAAAATGGTTTTTGGTTTCTGTATTTATATTCTCTATATTAATTTATCTCATTCTCTCTCTCTACCTATAGTTTTCCCTCAATGTCTCTCATTCTCTTTCTTAGTCGATCTCTCATTCTCCCTTAATTTCTATCATTCTCCTTCAGTTTCTCTCCTGCTCACTCTTTCTTTTATTTTATTTTTTTACACACTTATATGGTATTAATTAGGTCATATAAAAGAACATGAAACCAACTTGGTATGATTCAAAAATTATTACACTAATTTGATAAAAATTCACAAAAACTCTTGACTATGAAATTTATACCAACTGGAAATGATAGAAATTGAGGGAGAATGAGATATTCACTGAGAGGGAGAGTGAGGGAGAAGAATGAGAAAAATTGTGGGAGAACAATAGAGAGAGAGGTTTTGATTTGACTACACATCGAAACTGAGACAGTGGGAAAAACAGAGGGAGAGGGAGATCAAAAGATGACGATGAGAGTGAGAGAGAACAGAGGGAGATCGAGAGACAAAGGGTAGGAGAGAAACTAAAAACCTATTTTTGGTATAGGTTTTTGTTGTGTCCAACATGAACTAAAAGTCCCATGTTGGCAATAGCCACGTAAGAATTCGATGACATGACGACGTTTTTTATAATTTTAAATGTACAGCCAGTTGTCAAACTTTTGTTGGTTTCTAGACCAACCTGCAACCTAAATTTAAATGTATAATTGACTTTGACTATAACTTTTCCTTTAAATTAAATATTTTATTTACATTATATAAATTTTTTTTTTTATTTTTCATACTTAATTTTTGTTTGTCTATGATATCATTTGACTCAAACCACTAACCCACCATTTAAATATAAAAATCGTATCATTTCTAGGTTGACATTAAATCTTGTATTACATTTCCATCATTGCTAAATTCTTATGTATAAAACTTATTTTTGCTTAATATAATGAATGCACAATATTAGAGATGTACCCAATATTTTATTTTTTATAAATATATAACATTAGATATGTGCCCAAAATTTTCTCTATCTTTTTTTTTTGTGATTATTTGTATTTTCTATTATTAAAAATATTATTATTTGACTATGATATCATTTAAATTCAATGCAGATTTTGAATTTGGTATTCCATTTTTATCATTAATAAAAATACTTTTTACATTTCATATCTATTTATTTTAATACTTTATTATTTAATTATGGCATTATTTATTAATGCATCTGACCCCAAATGGTCGAATTGCTTGCCTACCACCGGGAGAAAAGAAAATGTTTTGTTTTTAAATTACTTTTCAAAAAAATTATTTTTATACTATTAAAATTAATAATCCGGATTTAATTAAAAGAATTTAATGATGAGAAAAATATATCTTAAATATAAAATTTAATGAAAGAGAATAGGAAAATATTTTTATTTCCAATTGACTTTAAATTTTACATTCCATTTCCATAATTAATCAAAACATTTCTTATTTATCATACTTATTATTGTTTAATATGTGTGTTAAAAATGTTGCCAATTTTTTTCATTTTATCTATTTTTATTTTTATTATTTAGTCGTGGCAACATGGATTAACCCATTTGACCCAAAATGATTTAATTTCTTACCATCACCTAGATGAAAACTCTATTTTTGCTAGGTATATTTTAAAAGTATAAGCTTTTATATTATAGAAATTATTAATTTATTAAGTATGGATTTAATTAATAGAACTTAATGATGAGAATAAATAAAAATGACTTAAATATATGACTTAATAAACATGAATGCAAGTTAATAACTTAAATGTTGGAGTTAATGAAAGAGAATTGAATGAATTGAATATCTTCAAATTACCTCTTTTCAACTCATTTAATATAAATAACCAATTACCTATTTGCCCTCTTTTCAACTCATTTAATATTCGTGCTTTTTAAAATAGTATATATATATATATCGACATATTGAAAAAATGGAAAAAAAAAAACATCAACATATGTTGTTTGGTATTTTTTTCAAAAGATTGCCTCAACTCTTTATGTATATTTTTTATTTTTTCAAACCTTTTTTCTAGTATAGTGGTTAGGGGGTGTCATCAATGATATCTGAAAATCTGATTTCAAATTCAAAATATCATATTCATAAGTCTATATAATCGAATCAAATTTGGGCATGACCTAATTCCATTCTATAAATATGTGAATTTGGTCGATTATTTAATTCTTATATATATATAATAATTAAACATTTTATATAATTTATAAATTGATGTAGGAATATCTTACCGACTTACAGATCTTGACAGGTGGCATTGGCCGGATGCATCCTGTCGTCCATCATCAACTACTATCAATTGCCATCAAGTGTCCCTCTTCTAAGGTAATTTTGATTATAAAAGGGGTGGAGGTAGACACACAAACTTAAGCTCTAAGTTTCCTTACTTGCTTGGTTCGACCCCTCACAACCCTCAAGGTCTTTGCACCCTAGGATAACTCCTGAGCATTGATGTCTTCTTTGTCTCAATAGGTTGGACCCATCACCTCGAACACCAGAAAGTATGCTGTTGCACTCGAATCCATATTTGGCAGCAACAATGGGTGTCGACTATGGAAACTATCTTCGAGACTTTCTCCTAAGAAAACAAATTTAACCTAATCAACTAGTGTTTCCGAAATGGCTAACAACCAAGACACAATTCCCAACGTTCAGAAGTTAGTTACGATCGACCAGTTTCAAGTTGGTCCTGGATAGGCTAGACAACCTGGCCCAGTGCTTGGACAATATAGGGTGTCTAGTAGGCCAGCCACAAAGTGGTCGCCCCATTGAAAGCCACGGACAACACAACAGGCGATCTGCCCATGCCCCACCAAGCCAACACTTGGGCAGCCTAGAGGGGGCCGACCCCTCGGAATCCGACAACAGCCATCGACGGGCTAGCAAGCCCCATTCTTAGACCTCTCAGCTCCCCAGCTGAGGAGGAAACCCTGTAGCATCCTACACTATGAACAGGAACCACGACCATCATCATCGTCGCACGGCGATCAATTGTAACAACGACGGGCACTTAGACCACTACAGTCCCCCTCTAGGAGCGGGATGTTGACGTCGCACCTCTTCCACGCCGGTTTTTGACCTTCGTGACCTCCTCAATGATCATCGCGCCCGCAAGGCTAAGGACATGTCAGCGTCCAACCACTTTGGAAACAGGGTTGACCCATCTTGTGTAAGAAAATTAAGACAAGGTTGAAGCACCGCTACCACACATCGAATAATGCTCCGCCAGTTACCATGCCTCATTCAGTTGGGTAGAGGCCTTCGTGGATTCCATCACCTCCGAGACCCTCCCGTCGAATTTCAAGGCCCCAGCGTTGGAGACCTATGATGGGAGTACAGATCCCGAGGACCACCTAAAAGCTTCAAGGCTCTCATACTCCTACATGGATACTCTAACACACTCATGTGTCGAGCCTTCTAGGCAACATTCAAGGGAGCAGCACGTCGATGGTTCTCGACACTGCCTCCACACTCCATCGACTCTTGGGACCAGTTCACAGACCTTTTCCTAGGTTACTTTGTGAGTAGCTAACAATGTTAGAAAACCGTCATCTCCCTAATGTCTGTCAAGTGGAAACTCAAGGAAAACGTTCAGGCGTATATCGAGGTCAAGAACCTCGACCCCTCGGTCTCCATGGCCGCAGCCTTCAGTGGCCTCTGCCCAAGTCTAAAGTCGAGTTCTTAAAGAAGGTCGAAAAGTACATCGTTGCCAAGCAAAGGGAAACAAACAAATGCCTAAAAAATCTAGAAGCAAGGCCCAGTGACAAAAAGATTAAGCAAAAGGGATGGCTGCGGCGGTGGCCCCACCAACAAGGACGGTGAGAAGAAACCATCGGCCCCTTTCTTCAACAAGTACACACCACTAAACTCAAGATGGGGGGAACCCCCAAGAAGTACTGCAAGAACCACAATGGCACCGATGATGACACAGGGACTACTACGAGCTCAAGAAAGAGATTGAGTCCCTCATCCATTGCGGACACTTAAAAGATTATGTTGAAGGCGACGCCCTAGCATCATCCCGCAACAGCCACAGGCCAGTCCCCACAACCATCGCCCCCTGGCGGAGTCATTGAAGTCATAGTCGGGGGATCAAGCCTTGGGGGAGCATTCGCTTTGTCTCAAAAGGCATACACCAGGTAGTATAACATTCACAACTAAGCACCGAAAAGGCCAAGGCCAGAGGACCTCATCTCCTTTTGAGATGATGACCATCGGGGAGTTTCTATGCCCCACGACATCGGCCTCGACTGAGGAGCTCTTCTTAGCAGTTGTGCGGTGATTG